ATCTAATTATGTACAATACCTCCTCAGCTCCTTTTGTGGGAGCGTTGTCGATGTGTTTTGTATTTGTCAGTGGAATCAGCTCCCCATCCACATCAAGGAAGCAGGCACAGTCTCAAGAAATTCAAGGCTAGGGTTAAAACAGTCCTCTTTTGCTTAAGTAATACAACTTTAAGTCTAAAAACAGACTAAGCTGCATATGGAGACAGAAGTAGTGGTAGTCATAAGAGTTGTAGTAGTAGTAGTAGGAGTAGTATGTGTAAGCCCTCAGTCGTACAGGGATTAGTCAAAGCAAAGGAAGGTTTCTCACCCATCATCTGTACTTCTTAGCAAGTTTTCCCGACGTTTCGTCCTCAAACTAGCGGGGAATGAGGGAATGAATTATCGGACCGCGCGTTGGCAGTAGTAGTAGCAGTAGTAGTACTTGCTTCTGCTTGTGTACAAATCTCTCCATGGCCTCGCACCAAAATATATTAGTGACATGTTAGTACCATATGAACCGGCCCCGACTCTGAGGAGCACAGGGACTGGACTCCTGCTGGGACTCTGAGGAGCACAGGGACTGGACTCCTGCTGGGACTCTGAGGAGCACAGGGACTGGACTCCTGTTAGTGCCCAGAGTCAGAACTAAACATGGGGAGGCTGCTTTTCAGATTCATGCTGCTAAAATCTGGAACAGTCTTCCTGAAGATGTGAGACAGGCCTCCTCTCTGACAATGTTTAAAACCAGGTTAAAGACAGTTCTGTTTAGCTGTGCATACAACTGAGGGATTTTATATTTTTATCTTTCTTTTTAATGTTCTGTGATTATTTATGATTTTAATGCTTTCTTATTTTGTTCAGCACTTTGAATTGCCTTGTGTATGAATTGTGCTATATAAATAAACTTGCCTTGCCTTGCCTAGTAGTTGTAGTAGTCAGATTGTCAAGCAGCACCAATGGCTCCTATGTTCTTTGTTCTTGTGTTTGCTTCTCTGATCTGTTGTTGGTGAATCGACAGCTTTGTAAAGTCCTCCTCCGAGACAACAGCTGCTGTGATTTAGGGCGATACAAAAACCAATTGAATTGATTTTAGATGCAGTGGAACAGATCACTGCGATTACCATCTCTGCTCCTGTTTTCTGTAGGATATTATCCGGAGCTTCGCCTTTGTCCTGAACGTTTGAATGAGAGTTTAGCCCCTTTCATCCAAAGTGCTAAACTAAGTGTTTTGTGCAATGGGCTGAACAGGGATTGATAATCTTCATTCACAGAAGCCACTTTACGTCCTCTGCTGTTATCAAAACAAAACGAAAACCCCCTTACTTCACCCTTCTCTCTCTGAGCTCCTCCACCAGAGCGGCCTGAGGGGTCCGCTCATACGCATGCAGGTCTTACCCGAGAAAATTGTGTGAAAAATGTCTCATGGCAGGGCGACGTAACAAATGACAAGCCTTCGTTGGTTTGATTTTAAGTTTTTATGGCTAATTATTGTCCAAAAAATGTCTTGAGGCAGGTCTCGAAGTCACACATGCCCGTCGCCCTTCATTCCATTCGTTTCAGTTCTTACAAATTTCTTCTCAGTTTTTTCAGAGCTCTTTGAGATTTCTGACAGGTTTTTCAGAAAGAATGAAGAGAGGGCAAGCCTTATACAGAGGGACAATCTGCGGCTCAGTAAAGACGCCAACTCACAGGTGTCCGAATCCAAACAGAGACAAGTCGCCATGACCCGATCCGTTAAAGGTTACGTCTGCGTTTGTCCATTTTGTGAAGGCCATTTCTAACACTATCATTGTCGTCTCAATGTCAACTAAAGACGCTTTTCCTTAACTTTCAAAGAGATAGAATGTTGTGAGCACTACTGGCAATTCATATTTTAATGCTATTTTTTTATTGCACGATTAACGCTAGTATGTGTGATGACTGATGTAAAAGCGTGGGTCATATTGTGGGCTGACAAGTGCCTGGTGACCGTGCGTTGAGCTCCAGGCTTCTACCACGGGCACATATCTGAAATCAGCCCTGCCGCCTCCTATGTGCCACGGTGCGAATCTTTTAGCTTCAAGTGTTGTGTCAGGGATGTATGGTACTGCAGGCGTTGGGGAAAACAAAAGCAGTCGCGCCAACTGCTGATCACTGTATGCGTCCGGTGATCGTCAAACACACTGTAAAGATCTAACCGACTTGATAGAAAACATAAACAAGCAAGTCGACTTTTATGGCAATTCAACTCATTTCTACTGTGTTCAATAGTTATAAACACTGTAAAAAGCAATAACAAAAGCAGAGAGTGACCCGATATTTGACAATCCAACTACTTTCATTTTGGAGGCGACAAGGTTCATATAAACTTTTTGCTTCATTCATTGCTTCTCTTTTCAAAACCAAATTCAGGGACATTTAGAACAGAGACAAATGTGAGATTAATTGCAATTAATCATGTGTCTCAGTCATGGATCTATTATAATATCTGGATAGGGTGTTACTAGCTTACAGCTGTCCCACCCACGGGCACAGGGGGTGCCCGTGGTACAGCAGACTAAATTCACGTGGGCTACCCAGAAAAAAGTCCCATAGATCTCAAAGTAAACTAAAACAGCTCGACCTCAGCTGACAGAGAACCTACAGCTTTCAGAAATATCGGTTTTTGTGGGGATTTCTTTAAACCCACACAAACTCTGCTCGTTTTCTTCCCGCTCTGACTCCGCTCTACCACTGTTCTGATCAGCAGTTCTGAAAGGTCAGAGCGCAGCCAAGCCCCTCTGTGTATCGGAGCCCATCCACTGCGCAGAACCAGGAGGACCAGACGATGCCCAAATATAGCCGAGTTCCTCTGATATGTCAGCGCCCGTGAAGTCCCATGCACTACTCAGCACAAGCCATTCATTTGAATAGGGCAAGAGAGTAATGCTTCAATCAGAGAGCAGGTAGTGGGAGAGGTGTAGGGTTAGAGAGTGTTTAGGCCTGTGGGTTTCTGTGTATTGGACAGAGATATTGAGCATTTTGATTCTCTTTGAAGAAGATGTCTATTGATTTCAGCCAGAGGCACACAGTATCAGTGCACACCATCTCTGTGGTGGTGTTTACATTTGAGGAAATACAGTATGCCTGGAAACAAATATGCATCAATCAACACAGTTCCACTGGAACCCAGCAGGATGGACCCAGTAGGAGGCACCCAGCAGGAGGCACCTAGCAGGAGGGACCCAGTAGGAGGCACTCAGCAGGAGGGACCCAGCAGGAGGTACACAGTAGGAGGGGCTCTGATAGTGTAACATGTGTACGTCGGCAGGTGAACAACGGTAACTCTCTTAATTACCTGTTGTTAACTAACTTTGTGACTGGGATGTATTAAATACAATATACACAACTGGGAATTATAATACTTATATACAATATAAGTTTTATTGTAGATCTACTATTCCGCTTTTTGTCAGGTGCATTCACACGTCTTCCTTCTTCACAGATAAACGCAAAGTCTGAACGCTCAAGCAGCTTTCATCTTCTGCGGCGTTTATGCTCGAGCTGCGGCTAACAGACAGGCTGCGGTCGCCTGTAGGTAGACAGGTGTTAGACCTGTCTAACAAACATTTAAGCAAACTGCAGAAGCATGAAGCTGAAATGAGTGACATTTACACTTTTATAGAGAGAAGGTCGAGGCAACGCATGCGCCTCTATGTTTACGTCCCAAAGACACAGATTGAGATTAAGAGATCCTTTCTTTGTCCCACAGTGGGGAAATGTCAGTGTTGCATCACAGCTACAGAACAATGGGAATGAGGAGCACACAACACAAGATAAATATCTCTATAATAACTCTATACTAAAATAAAACAGTATCTCTAACTTAGTAATAATAATAAAGAAGCAAGTACAAAATCTCTATATACAAAAACATTATTTATCAGCCTTTTTCTGTTGGGACAAACAACATGAAGAAACTAAAGTACCCCAGCTTTAACACATTCTTACACATTCCCCACTCCTTTTCTGCGACACAGCTTAAGTAGTAGTAGTAGTAGTAGTAGTAGTTTACGATGTATTTTTACAGGTACATATAATTTCAAGTGACACAGCTTTGACATGTTAACGTCCGCGGCGCCGCTTCGAGCACTATTCCGAGCGCGTGAGATTGCTTTAGGAGGAGCAGTGTTGAAGATTTATATTGCATGACTAATACAGCTCCTGGAGATGGCAGCTGCGATGGGCTCGCTGAGTGGTTAGCTCATGAGGCGTGGATTCAGGTAGAAGTGTGACATTCAGCAGAGGGAGACTCCAGAAGCTCACAGAGAAACAGGAGAAATGACACAGTGGAAAACAAGAGCCTATTCCTACCACATAATGAAGAGGTCACGCTCCAGCCGCCTGCACATGACGGATGTTGTAAGAGCACGGGAATATAATGGGAAATTAGAAATACAGGGATTTCTCTGTGAATGACGTGAAATATGTATTCAAATTCAAAATGGTGTTGTTATAAAAGACAGGCCATATAATGTGTTGGCAGCAAGGTCAGCTGATCGATGGGGAACGTGTTTTCAACATGTTTTTGACCATATCTGTGTTTAAGAACAGTACGCGCTGGACAGAGAAGATTATATTTTATATTTCAGAGTTGTATCAGCGTAAGGAAGCGTAAAGAGAATCCTCCAGTGACATATCAACACTGACTTCATTTGTTTAATATCTTTGTAAATGTCTTTCATTTACTCTGGTCTTTTTAATGTCCAGTAATTTCCTCATTCGGGGGAAAGACAGTTTCAGACGGTGGCAGGTGGTTCTGTTATTCATTGTATATGTGCACATTTACTGATGCATTAACTCACACTTTGATTTTTATTATGGCTCTTGGTTGTTTAAATTATCTGTGCTCTCGGCCTGTGGAGAAATTCCACAATACTTTTTTTTTTGCTCTCAAGCTTATTCTTGACTATTTTTATTCAGACAGTTCAATTCAATGTATTTATGTATATCTCTAAATCACAACCAGTGGCGGCCGGCCAATAGAGGGCGCTAGGGCGCCGCCCCACCACTCAAAACTTGCCATATTACCTTGAATAAAACGTTAAAAAAAAATAATAACATTAAAATATTTCGAAATGTATGTGTGTTTTATTTCAGATGTGGAAGAAATACTTTATAGTTTATGCTGAGTTGGATTGATTAAGCTCATCAGCGTTGTCTGTGTCGGACTGAGGACGTATTTCCGCCTCAGGTCGTATTTCCGTCTATGGACTCTCGTTAAAAGTTGTACATGCGCAGTAGCTCCTCTTCAATGCAAGAGATAAGACGATTTGGGGGCGCAGGAGAAGTGCGCCCTGAGGGGGCGGGATCGCCCGCGACCTGTACTGTCACTGTCTGTGACGTCCGTTTACAGTGATTGACAGGTCAAGCTGTGGGAGTTTGAGACGAACGTCAAGAGACGCAAAATGGAGAACGAGAAAAAGAATAATTCAGTTAGATCACTCAAAACAATACCGTTTGAGAGAAGATCATACCAGGAGAAGGTTGAGGTTAAAGAGCTTGGACCTGATCAGCCAAATATTACCATTAGTCAGCAGTCCAGCGACAGGGGGAGACGGTACACTCGTACTTTTTCCAGGACCTGGTTCAGCGCCAAATCTTGGCTAGCAGCATGTAGTGAGGCTAATGCTTTATTTTGCTTTCCATGCCTCTTGTTTCAAACATCAAGATCTGACCCAGCATGGATCAAGACAGGTATGACTGATCTGAAGCACTTTTTAGAAAAGGCAAAGAAGCATGAGCAGACTGGTATCCACATGCAAAATGCCCTCAAATTAGCTATGTTTGGGAAGATAAATATTTCATTCTCGTGTGAGGCTTCAGTCACAACAGTCAGTGTAAACTTACTTACTGCTGGTATATATCTAGTCATCATATTCATAGCCCCCCCAGTAGAAAATTCCACCAGCCGCCACTGATCACAACAGCTGTTATCACGGAGGACTTACAAAGCTGTCCATTCAAACAGTTCAAACACAGGATATGCAATGATGAAAAACAGACAGAGACTTTGGTCCATAAGGAACAGAGACAAATGTCCAGAAATGTCTACAGATATTCATAAATATCGCTGAATGTGGAGTGTCCTGGATCATCTGTCCTTAGACCCTCTGCATCGGCAAGAAACCAGCACCGACGGACATGGCCTTCTCATCTCACCTGCCTCTGCCCTCTGTTCTACTGCTATAGTTAGATTTCTCAATGTTTGTTAAAATGAGTTTGCATTACCTCCACCGACTGAACATGAGCTAGCAAGTGCCAATTTCCTTATATGGGCATTTGTTCCCACTTAGCTTTTCACTTCAACTGGGGCAAACGTGTTAGAGTTTTCCCCACAAATGAAGGCGTCTGATTGGTCAATCCTTATAAGGCTCACATCTGGATTTACAAAGACAATATCAATATAAAAAACAGGACGATAGCAAGCGCTAAACAGCGGACGTTTGAAGCTAATCACCAATCATCATATAACTGCTGGTATAACATGACAGTTAGCCTAAAGCAGAGGGGAAACATTGTGGCTTCTGATTAGTTTAGAGGACAACGGCAGTGTCTCTGGTCTCTATCTCTGTTTTCTCTCACGGTCTCTGGTCTCTCTCTCTGGTCTCTATTTCTGTTTTCTCTCATGGTCTCTGGTCTCTCTCTCTGGTCTCTATCTCTGGTCTCTATCTCTGTTTTCTCTCACGGTCTCTGGTCTCTCTCTGGTCTCTCTCTCTGGTCTCTATCTCTGTTTTCTCTCACGGTCTCTGGTCTCTCTCTCTGGTCTCTCTCTCTCTCTCTACCTCTGTTTTCTCTAACGGTCTCTGGTCTTTCTCTCTGGTCTCTCTCTTATCTCTTTCTCTGGTCGCACTCTTGTCTCTTTCTGGTTTTCTCTCTCAATTCAGCAGTTGTGGTGGTGTTCAAGCCTTAAACCACAAACCACACATTTTTTAAAGCTGCTACTCTGCAGAGGTTCCTTTTTAATTCCACCTTCAAATAATTTTTAGAGCTTAACCCCCGTTATTACAGAGGGACTAAGGAATAGAACCACATTTCCATCTCCTGTTAACTCCAGAGAACAGAACACACACACAACCACAGTTTGGAATTTTACAGCCGCAGCTGCCCCACCGTGTCACCTGGTGATCCCAGAGGTCTCCCATCACAGTACTAACCAGGCCCGGCCCTGCTTAGCTTCAGAGGTCTGAGGGATCTGGCTTTCAACTGCAGGTACGGCCACACATTGAAGAACAAGAAAAAATATGCTGCTAATAGTTTAAAAATGCTGGTATTCCTTTCTCGTTGTAGTAGTAGCTGTAGTAGCAGTGGTTGTCGTAGTAGTAGTAGTAGTAGAAGTAGTAGTAGTAGCTGTAGTAGTAGAGTACTCACAGCAGTCCACCAGGTGCCAGGGTTGTCCAGGCCGCAGTTGTCGCTGTACTCCAGGCAGCAGGAGTCGGGAACACGGGACGCGTTGTAGACTTCGAACCAGTCCGTGTGGTTGGTCACGCCACAGCAGCGGAACTGTGGACACAACACACCACAGTCTGAGAACACGGAATTCTGCAATTACTGAGACGACTCTGGATACAAGAGGGAGAGAGGACAAGTCAGCTGCAGAGACCGGATCTGTCTATCAGATAGACAGATAGACGGACATAGAAACATATAGATAGATAGATAGAACAACAGACAGATAAGGTTCAGCTTCATAGACCAGTGTCCAGCATCAGAAACACACCATCCATACAAACATAACAAAAATATATAAAAAAGTTACTAACAATAGTTTTAACTAAAAAATGTCTCTATATTTCTCTGCTGTGGGACGAAAAAAGGATTTCTTAATATTATTTATTAGAAAATCATGCAACTGGAAAAGTCTTTGGTCGAACAAGATGAAATGAAATGGATGAATGTCCCACAGAGGCTGTTGTTTACGTAATGTATGTTTATAAAATATTAAAAACAGAGTTCAATAAAATAGTGCAATTTAATGGTGTTTTTTTGGCCAAACCCTCAGCGCTCTGGGAAATAGCAGGAAGATTATAATATTGAATTATTTACATTTGCTCATGGTACATCTACATGGTTCTGACATACAACCAGAATGTGTTACTCATCTTTTTGGATTACACATTAGTCTATTACACAATTATTAAGACTAAAATAAAATAGTTATTATCAGAGTTTGGCAAGTTACTTAATAAACATATCGACCCGTGTGGCGATCAGCGCTGCTATTGGACAGCGAGAACTCACAGAGAATAGATACAGAAATGAATAGATAGGCTCTGCCTATGTTTGTTCTTTTTTGATCAAAACCACCTTCAACATCAACAGCAGCTCATTCGACACAGGCAAAACGCGTTGGAGCAAATTTTGGAACAGCGTCGGCGGATGCGTGCTGCTGAACGCCGAAGGAGACGCTACTTGCCCTGTCCCTGGATCTATGATAATAACCCTGTCCCACAACATACTGACAGCAGCATTGTGGGCAAACAGACGCTGAGGATCAGGTATGAGCCAAAGAACACAATTCACTACATGATGCAGAATATTGCTTTTTGAGACGTGAGTCAAACAGTGTCAGGCTTTTAATAATGCAAATGATTTGAAGATGCTGCCATTAACATCACTGTATACTGTGAACAGTTGTAACCACATAAGCCTGTTGCACAGCGTCTCCTCACTGCTCCAGGTCTTCACACGGCTCAGTGTTGTTGTGTAGCGTTAGCAGCATAGTTAGCAGCATAGTTAGCAGCATAGTTAGCCACTGTGACGCATGGCTAATTCCTCACAGTTTCTGTCTGCGGCTTGTTAAGCCTAAAAAATGCGCACGTATCTTGGAGTTGTGTCGGATCGACACTGGTTGTATTCAAACCTTAATCGACTTGGACCAGAGTTCGTTTGGAAGCGGAACGAGACCACCTAAAAAAGTAGGTCTCGGTTCAGTTCTTTGGTCCAGACCAGGATTCGTCTTCAGCCTCAGCTGATGGTCCTTTCTTCTACCAGAAAGGACCAACACTTCTAGACGAACACTATTGGAGCCGATGTGTCTCCGGCTCTTGCAGAGTATAAAACCAAAACACTTTTTTAATTTCAAGTTGAAATACATTGTGATTCTGGTGAGCCCGGATGCAAAAAGCAACACGTCACAGATTTAACATTTTACTCCCAACAGTGGTGATCATAATGGTAATTTGGTTTGCACTTATTCTTCTCCAATGAAAAATCTATGAGTCTAGTGGCTGCTATATTCTGCAAAACAACATGTCTCTCTCTCTAAATGATTAACTCTCTGGAATATGCCTCTGCTCGTGAATGACCGTGCGGAGCGGAGAAAACACTTGATCCGTCGCCCTCGTTCGTCTCTCCCCTCCCTCCGTGATTGCCACATAGATTTCTGTCTCTCCCTCCATAATTCAATTCATCAGCGGCAGCAGCAGCGGGAGATAGAGTGTCCAAGATGTTTTCCTTCATGGCATAAGCTTCAATCCAGCGGGAGAGCGGAAAGAAATGAAACTGCCTCGTCTCCAGAGATCGCCCACTTTACCAGTTTGTCATCAGTAGTGAAGGATGATGGAGAGGTAAAAGGTACAGTATAAGAGAGATGAGAAAGAGAGAGAGAGGGTAGAGAGATGATGGAGAGAGGATAGAGAGATGATGGACAGGTAAAAGGTATAAGAGAGGGGTGAGAGAGAAAGAGGATAGAGAGATGATGGAAAGAGAAGAGCGGGAGATGATGGAGAGAGGATAGAGAGAGTAGAGTGATGATAGAGAGATAATAGGGATGGTAGAGAGATGAGAGAGAAGATGGAGAGATGATAGAGAGATTATAGATGGAGAGAGGATAGAGAGATAATAGCAAGAGGATGGAGAGATGATGAGAGAGGAGAGTGACGATAGAGAGATATAAGGGATGATAGAGAGATGAGAAAGAGTAGAGAGATAGAGAGATGATGGAAATATGAGAGGAAAGAGAGAGATAATAGATGAGAGTTAGGATAGAGATGATAGAGAGAGGATATAGAGATGATGGAGAGATGATGGAGAGAGGATAGACAGATGAGAGAAAGATGATAGAGAGATGATGGAGAGATGATAGAGAGATGATGGAGAGATAAGAGAGATTATAGAGAGATAAGAGAGAGATGAGAGAGAGATGATGGAGATATGATGGAGAGATGAGAGAGATGATGGAGAGATGATAGAGAGATGATAGAGAGATGATGGAGAGATGATGGAGAGATGATAGAGAGATGATAGAGAGATGATAGAGAGATGATGGAGAGATGATGGAGAGATGATAGAGAGATGATAGACAGATGAGAGGAAGATGATAGAGAGATGATGGAGAGATGAGAGAGAGATGATAGAGAGATGATGGAGAGATGATAGAGAGATGATGGAGAGATAAGAGAGAGATGATAGAGAGATGATGGAGAGATGATAGAGAAATGATAGAGAGATGATAGAGAGATGATGGAGAGATGATGGAGAGATGATGGAGAGATGATAGAGAGATGATGAGAGATGATAGAGAGATGATGGAGAGATGACGGAGAGATGATAGAGAGATGAGAGAGATGATAGAGAGATGATAGAGATGATAGAGAGATGAGAGAGAGATGAGAGAGAGATGATAGAGAGATGATGGAGAGATGATGGAGAGATGATAGAGAGATGATGGAGAGATGATGGAGAGATGATGGAGAGATGATAGAGAGATGAGAGAGATGATAGAGAGATGATGGAGAGATGATGGAGAGATGATAGAGAGATGATGGAGAGATGATGGAGAGATGATAGAGAGATGATGGAGAGATGATAGAGAGATGAGAGAGAGGGCGATATGGTGCAGTGCGGTTGGTTGTACTAACAGACACATTTGGCTTACTGTATGTCTTTGCCTATCTGAGACCTGCTCGTGATGAAGACAGACTACGACTATGGCTAGCAGCAATCTCTCCAGTCAGTGGGAGACATCCAAGTACTCCCAAATTTGCAGTGAACATTTTTTACAAGATAAATCAATTAAAATGTTGTATTTATTTTCCTTCCATAAATTTATTTGGAGGACAATGCCACAACGAACGCTTGAAATCAAACGTGTGCTCTTACCACTGTCCTGCATGTGCGCTGCAACATTGAATGTCCTCACTGTGGGACGAATAAAGGATCTCTTATTTTATATTAGACGTCAGTTGTGTTTTTTACTATTTTCCTCTCCGTCAATATGTATCATGTTTGGCTTTAGACAAAAAAGTGTATTGCTAATGTGCTAATGCTACCAGCAAAACGTACAATTTAATCTGCTCTAGTGTAAGAGGATCAAAGCCCCGACCAACACCATCCATTCACTCACTCATTACATTCATACCTTTTTTACATGTTTCTGTTGTAGGGGAAACCGGAGCACCCGGAGGAAACCGGAGCACCCGGAGGAAACCTACGCAGACACGGGGACAGCATGTAAAGTCCACTGAGAAAGGCCCTGTTCCGACCAGGTTTTGAACTCAGGACCTTTTTGCTCAGATATAGAGCGAGGGATAGAAATGGATGGATAGAGATAGATAGATACACAGAGAGAGAGCAGGATAGAGAGATAGATAAAAACATATACAGTGGGGCAAAAAAGTATTTAGTCAGCCACCGATTGTGCAAGTTCTCCCACTTAAAATAATGATGAGGTCTGTAATTTTCATCATACTTCACACTTCAACTGTGAGAGCCAGAATGTGAAAAAAAAAATCCAGGAATTCACATTGTAGGATTTTTTAAGAATTTATTTGTAAATTATGGTGGGAAATAAGTATTTGGTCAAAAATTCAACTCAATACTTGGTAATATAACCTTTGTTGGCAATAACGGCCCCTGCGCTCCTCCAGCAGCAGACTCCTAACCATCCCCAAAGTCAGGACACACACTCACGGTGAGGCATCTTTCCAGCACTACGGCGCCCGTCTCTGGAACAGTCTGAGGAGGAGCTCAGGGCCGCAGAGAACGTTCATATTTTTAAGAGTAGGCTCAAGACACACCTTTTTAGAGTAGCTTTTGATTAGTATTTATTATTCCATTCTATTTATCTTTTATTACTTATTATTTATTTTATTGCTATTGCTATTATTCATGTAATGTGTGTTCCTTTTAGTCTCACATTTTAGTATTTTACTTATTCTATTATTTTTAGTGTACCCAGTGTTTCCTCTGGAGGAGCCCTCTGCACTGGGAGCGGTGGTCGGCATGGCTGCGGGGGTCGGACTCTTGGGCCTGGTGGGGGCCTGGGGCCTCAGTTTCATGTCTCCTCTGGGTCCTGTGTCGTCCCCACCCTGGCTACGGGTGGCTCTCTGCTCCTGGTGCAGACGGCTCCTTGGATGACGCTTTTTCAGCTGGTTGCATCTGAACCCTGCCAAGTCTCTCATCATGGTTTTATTGTTTTACTGGTGTGTGTGTGTGTGTGTATGAGTGTTCATGAGAGCGTGTGTGTGTTTGTCTGTGGTTTGGGGTGGGTCTGTTGGGTG